TCCCTCATCTATCCTGTCCATATTCCTCAACTTGGCATTTAAGGGCTTGTATGGTTTAGCCCCCATCTACTTTTCCATCTCAGTCTGCCATTGTTAATCTATCTGAATCCTACAGTCAACCAATTTGATCTGTTTGACTTCCCTAAACGTGGCTCTTTGCCTTTGCTAATGCATTTTCCTCAACCTGAAGTCCTCCTTTGATCTCTATCTCAAGCCTACTGGTTCCTTCAGGGCCAGTAAAATGCCATTGCCTCGGGACAAAGCCATCCCTGACTGTTCTCCCTTTTCCCTGAGCCATCATCCTCCTCAGCCTCTCATTTGTTTATAGCTCTTACAACACTTGTTGTATACTGCCTTGAGTTATTCATGTGCATGTCCTTTCACCTAATAGCATGTAAGTCCATGCAGGCATTGGGAGCCTGTCTTACGCTCTGTATCCCTACAGTGCCTAGCAAAGTGCCATGCACATGTTAGATGCTCAGTAAATACTTGCTGAATTCAAGAATGAAGGGAAGTTGTGGTTGGAGAAGATGCTTTATTCCTGGTAGAAGGGATGATTTGGGGTGACCAAAAAGTTAAGATCTTGTCAAGTAATATTAAGTCAACCCAAAAGCAGCTGTGGTGTTGTGCTGTTCCCATATCCTGGAATCACTTTCTTTGTTTCATCACAAAATGTTAGAGTATTAGCTGCCGTTTTATCCCTTACCAGCTAAAAATGCCTGGTTGTTACTTTGTCAGACGACAAGATTTTGACCCGTTCAGTCTTTCACCCTATTCCTGTCATTGCTGATCAAGAAAAGCATTTAGAACAGTTCTTCTGGTATGGGTTTTGAGGCAATGGTAGACTTCCCCAAAAGACTCCCTGTTACTCCTCACATCTCTCTTGCAAACCTGCCTCTTACTAACATGAAACCTCCTATCACCAAAGTGCTTGGGAACGGTAGCTCATTAATGAATTTTCAGATTAATTACCGCTTCGCCCTGTTGGTTCAGCCCTTGCTGAAAACTTGTCAAAAACATCCAGGTCCACTTTTCTGCATTCAGTGACCTATGGGGGAAAATATCTGAACATTTCTTTGATTGTGGCTCTTACAGTGACTTTGGGTCCTGATTAGGGCCCTTAGTTCTCTTTACACAGCATAGTAGATGTCAAAAGTATAGACAGACATACTGATATATTCTTAGAAGTTATTTTTAAAATTAGTCCCTCCTATCAGCTTTGTGTTGTCATATTCCCCTTTGCCTAAAAGGGAAGGCAGAATTGTAATTGTAGTTCTTGGAGGTTTCCGTTTAATTTGGGATTGGTTAATTTAGGTTTTATGCCAGAAGCGAATTCAAGGAAGCCCAGGTATTTGTGTAACTATGCCATGGGTTCTCATAAGCATGTCCCAGACCTCCAGTGAGAAGAGACTTTCAAGGTCTGGGCCCTATATTATTCTCCCACTGCTTCTGTCTTCTCTTTGGCAAACTGTTGCTGAGCCAGACAGGTCCCTACTTGTAGTTGGTTGGTTAAGCGTGCTTTGACTAGGAGGAAGGCAGACAATGTTAGTGAAAACCTATACTGGCCACTTTTCCTTGATTTTTGTCAGAGAAAAGAGATGCTCTTTGGAGAAATAGGGGTAAGCAGGCTTAATTTTTAAGGTACTCAAGAATAAGGCTTCCAAAATACGGAATCGAGAGTAAATTGGCAGAGGAGGAAGAAATGAGAACAGGGGGTACAACATTTGTGCGTTTGAAAGTGGAACTGGCTGCCACAAACGCATTTCTAGAGACATCTTCATCCACTGTCTCTTTGCTCAGAGGCATACACAAAACTACCCAAAGAGTATCTCTGTACTCCTCTCCCCTTCCCTTGGGCATCTTTCTCTTGGCCTCCTGGGAATTTCCTGCCTGTTACAATCTCATATACCAAACCATTTTTTTCCCCCAGGGGCAGGGAGGGAAGAGTATACTGCATATATGAAGATACAGGTAGATAAAGGTAATTACTTAAACACATATAGGGCAAGACTTATTGGTTTGGAGGCCCCAATTAAGATGCAGAAGAGCATGTGAGGTTGATGATTATATTTCGGGGAGAGCTAATTGACGGAAGGTGAAGGCAGACAAAGGACTTCTGCTTACTGCCTTCTTGAATCCCAATCAGGAATTATGATTAAAGACTCCACGAGACAACAGAGGGCTGATGAATTGGTGTCTCTTTTTTTTTTTTCTTTTTTTGCCGTCATTCACACTTGATTGACTTCAACCTTTCAAGTGCAAAAGTCTCTCTTTTTCATTATTATTCATAGCCATCTGAGTTTTTCTAATTAAAGTGTATGAAAACAATTACTGATCCGTCGTACTGAGTCTGTTAGTGGGGATGTCTGCCTTACTGTAATGTGTATAAAAAGCTCACAGTTTTCTATAATGATGTGCAGCTGAGGTGTTAGATAATTTTATTCTTTTTTACTCTGTAGGGTTTTTTTTTGTATTTCTCATGATTTATTTTTCATAATTCCTAAAGATCCCAGGAAAGGACTGATCCTGCAGCTTCAACTAAGAAGGGGCAGGAGGGAATATTCATTTTCTTTCTCTTTCTCTCCAACTCACCCCCCCTACACACACACACATACCCCATTCCCCACCCCGTCTTCTGAAGCTGGTTACTATAAATTAATCGGTGACCTTTCACTTCTTGGATTCCCACTGGACTCCCCAGCCACACTGGTCAGAAATGCCTTCTATTAAAAATAAAATAGATGGAATGAGTTTGGCATTCTCAGCGCCATTGATTCATCAACCCCTGGACTTAACCAGCTGCTGTTTACATGTTGTATTAAGGGGGTGCAGATGTCTGTAAGAGACAGAAATGCTGTCTCATGCAGTCTTACTCACCTGTACTGCACCTGTTCTTTGGTAAGCAGGATTCTCAGAACTCCTTAGCCTCAGTGTGTGTCATTTGGTGAACACAGACTTTGGTGTCTACCTCTCTCATAACATGACAGGTGTCCCTCACTGAGCTATATCTTCTTAGTGCCCATAAGGTCATTACCTGGCTTTTCTCCAAATGTTTAGTATTTTAGCTATAACCTAAAGAGAGATTTTGGTGATTGCAATGAATGTCAGCTATTTGGAGAATGGCTCAAGTCTTCAGAACCAGTAGTAATTTATACATTGAATACCAACATTGATCTCTAGGTATTGTCCCAGCGGAAGACGCAGGCATATAGAGATTGGACTGAGACAGGATCTGTGATTTCATTGGCGTTAATTGTTTCTCAATAAGGAAATGCCTTCTCCCAATCCAGGTCAGGACCTCCCCTGCAATTTATAGAGAGCTATCTATGGCCAAGTTGTCAAACCCAAATAAAAATGAGGCCACTGGAACTGTACCGAGAGATCCCTGCTAAAGTATATTGACATTGAAAAACCATACATTCACATTATCTACGTCCTATTGCATTTTTGCATATTTTGTTAAATATTTCCCAATTGTGTTTTAATCCAGGGCATTTGATTAACACTTCTGGTCAGAGATTAAGTGGCTTGGCCAGGGTCACATGATCAGTTTCTGTCAAAGGCAGAATTTGAACTCAGCTCATCCTGACTTCAAAGCCTACTCTTCCTCCACTCCACCAGCTTGCCTCTCATGTGAAGATGACTTGGTTGAAATATTTTGTCCTGCTAAGTGGTTATGAGTGCCAAATAAAACAGATGATGATTATTTCATTTATTCTTTATCTTCAAATTATTTTTATATTTAGAATACATAAATATATTAAAATTTTGTATTTTTTTATTTTTATAATATATAAATATGTACTTTTATTTTACATATAGGATTTATAAATATAAAAATTTCTACTTGTATGTTTTATAAATGTATAAAAATATTCTCCTAAACCCATCTTTCTGGCTGTTGTAGAAAAAGTGGGAAAGTTTTCTGGTTACATTAGAAAAACATGCTAACCCCGACTTGTTTTTGTTGTATACCAGCAGGCAAAGGTGAGGGAACCTGGTGTGTGACCACGCCTGCAAGTCAAATTGGGCATCCCTCCTGTTAAAACTGGAGAACATGAGTTGTCATGTTGGACGTTGTTGTGAGACACTCTGGGGTTCTCAACCCCGAGGACCAGTGCGTGTGGCAAGGTGGTGGGAAAGGCCAAAGCAGAGAGGGGAACCCGATGGAGAATAGTGACTCTTTTGATCCAAGCCAGTTGACTGAGCCCCATGGTGTTTAAGGCCAATGGCTGCTAGCAGGGTCAGGTCCTCCCCTGCTGGCGATATTCCACAGGGCTGGCTCGCTGGCGGCAGCATCAGACACGGCCTTCTGATGTCTTCTGCCCATGGCAACCCTTCAAGGAGAAATCCTTGACTTGAGGGAGGCGTGTGAAGTGTTCCTTCTCTCTTGATCTGAGTGTGTAAAGGGTTACAAAACGTTGTTTTCCTGGAAAATCTGCCAACTTGTCTCCCTGTCCTCATCCTTCCCTTTGTTCCCCTTTCTTCTCACTCTTACCCTTTCCTTCCCTCTCTTATTCCCCTCCTTTTCTTGCCTGAATACATTTTGAAAACAGTACTACAATGCTCCCTGCTTCAAGATTACAGTGTACTTTACTAGGTATGATTTAATTAGGGCCCTTATTATGTTTTCAGCAGCTTAAGGTGGGCCTTTCAACTTATCTACCTAATTGGCTGCACAAGAAGTTTCACAACCCATGACAAAACATTGTCAGTGATCAAAGTCAAAATTCTGCATAAAGGAAAAATATTAATAATAAGATTATTCTTCAAGTATGCACTGCTAATTATGTCCAGAATATAACCGTAGAAACACTTTTGACTGATGCGAGCTTTGTCTAATAAACATGAATCTTCAGTGAGCTATGAAAAGTGACACCTCCGCCTTCACACTGGGGAAGGCTAACTTTGCTTATTAAAGAATTTTTAAACGTCTTCCCATTTTGTTTCCCCTTCCTCCTCATTTGACTCTCGTCATTCCTCTGTCTCTCCGGCCTCAGGTGACAACCCCCGAGATGATGATGCCCAGCAGCATGTTTCTCCCGACTGCTATTCCAGACAGAGATGGCAGCTCCAACCCGGAAGAGGCAGGAAAGCAGCCTGGTCAGTTTCCTCATTCTTGACTTCCTAGAATTGACATAAAATCAAATCCTAAGCCAAAAGCAGCGTCCTCTGAGGTCTGGAGGATCATTTCTGGTCCACAGAGCTAAACCTGTTGAGGAAATGGGACTATCGTGTTGGCTTGGCTGCCTTTTGCCTTTGACATTATCTGTCTCTCGCACTGGCGTTTATTTGTACTTTATTCATATAGTTTAAAGATGAGAGACAGACCAACGGATGGACAGACAGATAATGGAATTTTGGTATTGTTCTCTGCTTTAAGTGGATGTGATCAGCTTTGTGACCCAAGTATTTTGAAATGGGCATTAACAAAGAATCCGGAGGGGCACACTGTGTGTGTGTGTATGTGCTTGTCCATGTGCAGCTGTTTTAAACGAGACCCAGTTGATGAACCATGTAGCTTGAGCTTCTGAGATCCCATAATGAAACTCTGAGCCTGGTAGCACTAGGTGACTAGATGTCATTTTCATAAGGAATTGTCCCCTATAGGCCAGTGGACTACATGAAATGACTTTGAATGTTTAAAGATTCAGTTTTGCTTCTCAAGGGTGAAGTTTTACTTCCCTCTGGTAAAGAATAGAAGGTCTCTACAGATATCTTCTTGTAGGAATTTATACTTCTTCCTGTTTGTGGGTATCTCCAGCTTTGTGGCTAAGGAGAGATCTTTAGCTTATCACCCTTTCTGCCTTTCACCCCTCAAGAGAGCCAAGTAGAGTCTAAATGATCTTATTTAAGAGGCAAGCCTAATAAATGAATTCACCACAACCAAAACATCTAGTAACATCACAACATCATCAGCCAACCTGAGATAATCAACTTTCCCTGCCTAATGTGGAGAAACACTGAGAAGATCTTTTTTTTTTTTTCCCCCAAAGAGAGTGAAGGTATTTGTAAGTATTACTGCCCCCAAGATGCAATAGAAAATGAATTCTGTCAGGGACTACTCTCTGTTCCATTGCAGAGACTTAGAGAATTGTCTTGTGAGAATAGATGGTTTGATGGTAGATTATCCTGGGCATCAAAAAATTCAACGACCAGATTTTAACCAACATTAGAGTAGCTTAAAAGAGAATTTTTTTTCCCTGACTTTATGTAGGATAGCAATGCCATCCACTTTATAGGTGGGTTGGCTTTCCGCTTTAAAAGAGAAAAATAATGCAGTAAAATATTCTCAAATTGAACAGAAATTATATGCCAAACCCAGTGTGATTTGACTGAGTTTTTAAGAATCAACATTAATTTTCCCTTTGAAAGTTTTCTGGGACTTATGTGGGAAAAAAAAAAAAAAAGATCCAGACCAAAATCAGTAGCTATTTCAGCCCCAAGGCGATGAAGGCTAAAGAAATAAAGGATTGTTTCAGTGTGCCTCGAACTTCTGGATCGATTCTTAGGTTTATCACATATGTTAAAAAGGTCTGTTGTAAACGTTTTCATTAGTTCTTTTACTCCTATTTATGTCTTGCTTTATAAGATATGCTTCAAAAGCAATAAAGCCACATTTTTAAGAAGAGTTGCTCTTTTAAACTGGCTTTCCCCGCCCCTTCCTTGATCACGTTGCATTAATAAGCTGTTATTACAGTGGAAAACTCTAGCTGACATTTCTAATGTATTGTTTTTGTTTTTTTGTTTTTTCATCTCTCTTTGGGGGTTTGATGTGCTTCATAGAAACCTCAGAGGATCTGGGGAAGAGCGTCCTGCCGTCAGAGAGCATGGAACACAGTGGAGAGCCAAAGCCCTCCCCCGCTGACCCAAGCTCTGCACGCGAGGAATCGGGCTTCCTCTGCTGGAAGAAGGGATGCAACCAAGTCTTCAAAACCTCTTCAGCCCTTCAGACGCATTTCAATGAGGTCCACGCAAAGAGGCCTCAGCTGCCCGTGTCCGACCGCCACGTGTACAAGTACCGCTGTAATCAGTGCAGCCTGGCCTTCAAGACTGTGGAGAAACTTCAGCTCCATTCTCAGTACCACGTCATCAGGGCGGCCACCATGTGCTGCCTCTGCCAGCGCAGTTTTCGGACTTTCCAGGCCTTGAAAAAGCATCTGGAGACGAGCCACCTGGAGCTGAGTGAGGCGGACATCCAGCAGCTTTACAGCGGCCTCCTGGTCAACGGAGACCTCCTGGCCATGGGCGACCCGTCCCTGGCGGAAGACCACACCATCATCGTGGAGGAGGATAAGGAAGAGGAGAGCGACTTGGAAGACAAGCAGAGCCCCGCTGGCAGCGATTCCGGGTCGGTCCAAGAGGATTCTGGCTCGGAACCAAAGAGGGCTCTTCCTTTCAGAAAAGGCCCAAATTTCACGATGGAAAAGTTTCTGGATCCTTCCCGCCCTTACAAATGTACAGTCTGCAAGGAGTCTTTCACCCAAAAGAACATTCTGTTGGTTCACTACAATTCCGTCTCCCATCTGCACAAGTTAAAGAGAGCCCTCCAGGAGTCCGCGACGGGTCAGCCCGAGCCGACCAGTAGCCCAGACAACAAGCCTTTTAAGTGTAACACCTGCAACGTGGCCTACAGCCAGAGCTCCACCCTGGAGATCCACATGAGGTCCGTGCTGCATCAGACCAAGGCTCGGGCGGCAAAGCTGGAGGCCGCGGGGGGCAGCGGGGCCAGCAACGGCACAGGGAACAGCAGCAACAGCGTCCCTCTGGGAGCTTCCGCACTGAGTCCGGTCCACACGAGTGGGGGCAGCAGCGCCTTCCCCACGACCAGCACGGGCGGCGCCGGCACCGGCCCCAGCGCCAGTCTGCTCGGCCAGGCAACAAGCGATGGTGCCGGCATGCCACCCCTTGGGAATCCCGGAGCAGCCAGCATCGCCTCCCCTTCGGAGCCCAAGGAGGTCAACCGCAAGAAGCTGGCGGATATGATCGCCTCCAGGCAGCAGCAGCAGCAGCAGCAGCAGCAGCAGCAGGCCCAGACGCTGGCCCAGGCCCAGGCCCAGGCCCAAGCCCAGGCTCAGGCCCACCTGCAGCAGGAGCTGCAGCAGCAGGCGGCCCTCATCCAGTCTCAGCTGTTTAACCCCGCCCTCCTGCCTCACTTCCCCATGACCACGGAGACCTTGCTCCAGCTCCAGCAGCAGCAGCATCTCCTCTTCCCGTTCTTCATCCCCAGCGCCGAGTTCCAGCTCAACCCGGACGTGAGCCTGCCTGTCACAAGCGGGGCAAGCCTGATGCTGACAGGGACTGGCCCCACCCTGCTGGAAGACCTGAAGGCTCAGGTCCAGATCCCGCAGCAGAGCCACCAGCAGATCCTGCAGCAGCAGCAACAGAGCCAACTCTCCCTGTCCCAGACGCACACGTCTCTCCTCCCGCAGGGCCAGCACCCGGAGAGGAAGAACAAGGCCGTGGTCAAGGAGAAAGACAAAGAGGGCCAGAGGGAAAGGGAAACCGTGGAGAGGGCGGATGGGAACGCGGGCTCTAAGGAATCCCCGCCGGACCCCTTGAAGCCCAAAGACAAGAAAGACTCGGCGCCAGGAGGTGGTTCGGAATCGTCGATGCTCCCGCCGCGCATTGCCTCGGACGCGAGGGGCAATGCCACCAAGGCCTTGCTGGAGAACTTCGGCTTTGAGCTGGTTATCCAGTATAACGAGAATAAGCAGAAGGTGCAGAAGAAGAGCGGCAAGGCGGAGGCCGGTGACCGCTTGGAAAAACTGGAGTGTGACTCGTGCGGCAAGCTCTTCTCCAACATCCTGATCCTGAAGAGTCACCAAGAGCACGTTCATCAAAATTACTTTCCCTTTAAGCAGCTGGAGAGGTTTGCCAAGCAGTACAGAGAACACTACGATAAGCTGTACCCGCTGAGGCCGCAGACGCCGGATGCGCCGCCCCCACCCCCGCCGCCGCCGCCGCCTCCGCCCCCGCTGCCCGCGGCCCCTCCTCAGCCAGCTTCTACGCCTACTCTTCCCGCGCCAGCCCCATCTATCGCTTCTCCCACCATCGCACCGGCCCAGCCCTCTGTGCCGCTCACACAGCTCTCTATGCCGATGGAGCTGCCCATCTTCTCACCGCTCATGATGCAGACCATGCCGCTGCAGACGTTGCCAGCCCAGCTGCCCCCTCAGCTCGGTCCCGTCGACCCTCTGCCCGCCGATCTGGCGCAGCTCTACCAACATCAGCTCAATCCCAGCCTGCTCCAGCAGCAGAACAAGAGGCCCCGGACCAGAATCACGGACGACCAGCTCCGCGTCCTCCGGCAGTATTTTGACATCAACAACTCCCCCAGCGAGGAACAAATCAAGGAGATGGCAGACAAGTCCGGACTGCCCCAGAAGGTGATCAAGCATTGGTTCCGGAACACCTTGTTCAAGGAGCGTCAGCGAAACAAGGACTCCCCATACAACTTCAGCAATCCGCCCATCACGAGCCTGGAGGAGCTCAAGATAGACTCGCGGCCCCCTTCCCCGGAACCTCAGAAGCACGAGTACTGGGGGAGCAAGAGATCCTCCCGGACGCGCTTCACGGACTACCAGCTGCGGGTCCTGCAGGACTTCTTCGATGCCAACGCTTACCCAAAGGACGATGAATTCGAGCAGCTTTCCAACTTGCTGAACCTCCCCACCCGAGTCATAGTGGTCTGGTTTCAGAACGCCCGACAGAAGGCCCGGAAAAACTACGAAAACCAGGGAGAGGGCAAGGATGGGGAAAGGCGCGAGCTTACCAACGACAGGTATATCCGAACGAGCAATTTAAACTACCAGTGCAAAAAATGTAACTTAGTCTTTCAACGTATTTTTGATCTTATTAAGCATCAGAAAAAGCTGTGTTACAAAGACGAGGATGAGGACGGGCAGGACGACAGCCAAAACGAGGACTCCTTGGACGCCATGGAACTGCTGACTCCCACCAGTTCCTCCTGCAGCACCCCGATGCCCTCCCAGGCCTACAGCGCCCCGGCCTCATCGGCCAACGCGGCGTCTTCGACCTTTCCGCAGCTCAACACGGAGGCTGACGAGTCCTCCGCCTTCGGCTCGAAAATGGAAGCTACGGATGAGAAACCAAAGCAGCCTGAACCTCCCAGTTCACAGCCAAACCAAACCCAAGAGAAGCAAGTACAACCAAAGCACGAGTCTCAGCAGCAGCCGCAGCAAGACCAGTTGGAACAGAAGACGAGCACAGCCCAGCAGAAGAATCCTCCGCTGTCCTCTCCGGCCCTGCAGCAGCCGCCCCAGCAGGTGCCTCCCCCTCAGTGTTCCCTACCCCAGTCAAGCCCCAGCCCGTCCTCGCAGCTCTCCCATCTGTCTCTCAAGCCTCTTCACACATCCACTCCCCAACAGCTGGCCAACCTACCTCCTCAGCTCATCCCCTACCAGTGTGACCAGTGCAAACTGGCATTCCCCTCCTTTGACCACTGGCAAGAACATCAGCAGCTTCACTTTTTAAGTGCGCAGAACCAGTTCATCCACCCCCAGTTTCTGGACAGGACGCTGGACATGCCTTTCATGCTGTTTGACCCCAGTAACCCACTGCTCGCGAGTCAGCTGCTCTCCGGAGCCCTGCCCCAAGTCCCCGCGAGTTCGGCGACGTCCCCTTCCACGCCAACCTCCACGATGAACACTCTGAAGAGGAAACTGGAGGAGAAGGCCAGTGCTAGCCCTGGGGAAAATGACAGCGGGACAGGAGGAGAGGAGCCTCAGAGAGATAAGCGCTTAAGGACGACCATTACCCCAGAACAGCTGGAAATCCTCTACCAAAAGTACCTGCTGGACTCCAACCCAACCCGGAAGATGCTTGATCACATTGCACATGAAGTGGGCTTGAAAAAGCGTGTGGTGCAAGTTTGGTTTCAGAACACCCGAGCTCGGGAAAGGAAGGGACAGTTTCGGGCTGTTGGCCCCGCCCAGGCCCACAGGCGGTGCCCTTTCTGTAGGGCGCTTTTCAAAGCTAAGACTGCTCTAGAGGCCCACATCCGGTCCCGTCACTGGCACGAAGCCAAAAGAGCCGGCTATAACTTGACTCTGTCTGCAATGCTGTTGGATTGTGATGGCGGGATACAGATGAAAGGAGACATTTTTGACGGAAGCGGCTTTTCCCACTTGCCACCGAGCGGCAGTGATGGCCAGGGTGTCCCCCTCTCTCCGGTGAGTAAAACCATGGAGCTGTCCCCCAGAACTCTGCTTAGCCCTTCCTCCATCAAAGTGGAAGGAATAGAGGACTTTGAAAGTCCCTCCATGTCCTCAGTTAATCTAAACTTTGACCAAACCAAGCTGGACAATGATGACTGCTCCTCTGTCAACACAGCCATCACGGATACCACCACAGGCGACGAAGGCAACGCGGACAATGATAGCGCAACAGGAGTAGCAACTGAAACCAAATCATCATCAGCACCCAACGAGGGGCTGACCAAAGCCGCCATGATGGCAATGTCCGAATATGAAGATCGGTTGTCTTCTGGTCTGGTCAGCCCGGCTCCTAGCTTTTACAGCAAGGAGTATGACAACGAAGGTACAGTGGACTACAGTGAGACGTCCAGCCTTGCTGATCCCTGCTCCCCGAGTCCTGGTGCAAGTGGGTCCGCAGGAAAGTCTGGAGATAGCGGAGATCGGCCAGGGCAGAAACGTTTTCGGACTCAAATGACCAACCTTCAGTTGAAAGTCCTCAAGTCATGCTTTAATGACTACAGGACGCCAACCATGCTGGAGTGTGAGGTCCTGGGCAATGACATTGGACTGCCAAAGAGAGTTGTTCAGGTTTGGTTCCAGAATGCCAGAGCGAAAGAAAAGAAGTCAAAGCTAAGCATGGCCAAGCATTTTGGTATCAACCAAACGAGTTATGAGGGACCCAAAACAGAGTGCACTTTGTGTGGCATCAAGTACAGCGCTCGGCTGTCTGTACGTGACCATATCTTTTCTCAACAGCATATCTCCAAAGTTAAAGACACCATCGGAAGCCAGTTGGACAAGGAGAAGGAGTACTTTGACCCAGCTACCGTACGTCAGTTGATGGCTCAACAAGAGTTGGATCGGATCAAAAAGGCCAATGAGGTTCTTGGACTGGCAGCTCAGCAACCAGGAATGTTTGACAACCCTCCTCTTCAAGCTCTTAACCTCCCCACCGCTTATCCGGCACTACAGGGCATTCCCCCGGTGTTGCTCCCTGGCCTCAACAGCCCGTCATTGCCAAGCTTCACTCCATCCAACACAGGTGGGTTCTGGTACAATCCCTGGGCACTGTTCTTATTCCCTGTCCCTGCATCAGTGACCTGATGAACACGGCTTTCCCCGAACCAGCCTGTCGGGATTGTTTCTCGCAATCACCTCACAGGGTAGGGAGCTTACCTGTCTAGGTGGGCGGACAGGGTTAGAAGAGCCCTTCTGATGTTTCTTCGCTAAGATCTCAGGGTATCAAGAACCATTACAGAGCTCTCCATCCAGGCCATTGGGTTGCCAGTTCTCTCCAAGTGTTTCTCAACCATGAAAGACCCCAGTTATTATTGGTCGATAGGTACCAAAACAGTATGGACGATTTGTTAAATGAAGTGATTTTTCTCACTTGTAGTCCTGATCTTTCCTTGAGAACCAGTTGAAGATTTTCTCACACCAGGAAGATTCTCTCTTTTTAAAATAATGTCCCTTGCTTCTTGGTCTGACTGGTAGCTGCCATCTTAGAAGCGGCCAAGAATCTTAATTCTTTGTGACTAATTTCCTGTTTGACCAGACATCATATGTTAGAGAAGGCAATCAGAATTTCATATCCTACTTCTTGCAACAAAGTACTTACTGAGTGAATGTCCCCTAAAATAACCTTGAGAGATATGATTAGTTCCCTTTGAAGCCCTCTTTCCTTTTCATTATGTTTCATCATTTTCTGTCTTCTTATTTAGTAAGAAATGTAGAATCTGAGATGGAAACATTCTCAGTGGCCAGCTGGTCTGTACAACAAATCCAGCAAAGGGTCAATCCAACCTTTGCTCAAAGAGCTCCATCGGGGAGGAAACTGTCACCTCCCAGTGCCGCCCATTATTCCATTTTGGGGGAGCTCTAGCTATTAGGTTTTACCTTTTGGCTATGAGGGTATGTCATGGACCCCTTTGGCAATCTGGTGAAGCCTATGGATCCCTTCTCAGAATAATTGTTTTAAACCCATAAAATAAAATACTCAGGAGTACCAAAGGAAACCAGGGACGTTAAAATTCAATTATCAAAAATGATGAAGTTCAGGTAAAGAACCCCCGACTTCAGTCAAGCCTAAATCTATGGCTCCCACTTCTAACCAGTGCCCTTTAGCTCTGCCTTCTAGGGTCAAGCAGAAGAAATCTGATCTCTCTTTGACATGATAGCCCTTCAGATACCTGAAGATGTCTGGCATGTCTCTCTCAGTCTTATCTTCTTCAGGATAAACTTTCTCCACTTCCTTCAACCAACCCTTGTCTGGCATCCTGGTTGCTCTCCTGGGTGTTCAGTGGGGTGTTCAGGAGGTGATTGGTGTCCTCCCCAGAGTGGGGAGGCTGGAACTGGACATGGGATTCCAGGTATCTGATCCAGGCAGACAGGTACAGAGGGGCTGCCTCCCCCCATCTGCTTCTAGAAATGATGCCTCTCTTAGCTTTTCTGGCCTCCATCTCACACTGACTTGTATGGAAATCTTTTTAGATTAACTAACCACACCTCCCTCACCTTGTACTTACAACTTTGATTTTTTTTTTTTTAATATAAGACCAACTCCATTGAGTCAGGAAGACTTGAGTTCAGTTGTTCCCTCTAGCATTTCCTGGCTGTAAGACTGTAGACTAGCCTCTTTGCCTCTCATTGCCTCCAGGCAACTCTCTGAGAGTTTTAAGTTATATCCAAATCACTGATCTCCACCCTTAGGGGGAGTCTGACACCCCAGGTACCTTAAGCTGGTAAGATCCCAGATTCATTGGGACCCTTGCCTCCCACACTCTAGTGCTTAGCACAATACCTGACATATAGTCGGTGCTTAATAAATGCTAGGTGACTGACTGACCCCAGATGCTTTCTATTATATATCCCTCATCTGCCTGGTTCCTGGATTTTGTCACTTGAATTTATCTTAATATACAGTACTGTACCACACGCACACCACCTTAACACCTCTCCTTTTCCTTTTGAATGAGATACGAGATACCCTTCAGAGCAGTGTACCAGTCATGAGTTCATTCCACTAAGCCCCAGTGTTGTCTGTGAGGTCAGACACATTTATTTGCTTCCTTGCTTTAAATGTGCTTGCTCTCTCTCTCTCTCTCTCTCTCTCTCTCTCTCTCTCTCTCTCTCTCTCTCTCTC